TGCAGTATAACTTTAATACACAGAGGCTCTTCGTTTCGGAGACTGACTTCATCCACCAGTCCTTTCAAAGCTACTCAAGTATGCTATAGGTTGTCACCGCCTCTCCCCGAAAGAAAAGCTGAAATCACTGTGTGCCATAAAGCTGCCAGTGCTAAGTCCGCTGTGTCAGATAAATGGCTAGCTGTGGCTACATGTGCTCCAGCACAGCGAAGCTCGGCAATAATAAAATGATGCTTTTCCAACTAGAAGGCCTTTAGGTAACAAAGCTATCAAATCAGGTTCTGTAGCATGAGGCTTGAAGACTAGTACAACAGACCTTGCGGTGCATTTAGCCAATGACAGCTGACTTTTCATCTCTTGGTACGAAAAAAAAACATAAGCTTCACTTAATGTCTGATTTAAGAAAGTCATAAGATTTGTAAATGACTTTAAATCTTTACCAAACTGTACCTCTAGAGTATTCCAAAATTATTCTCCTTGTGAGTGTGGCTAATGTGTTTAGCAGACTAGCTCCTCCCCAGAGGAGACTGCCTCAGGACCTTTCAAGGAATTCAAAAAGTATTTAAACGATTAAAGTAAAAAAAAAATAATAAAACAAAATCTGAGTAAAAAGCGGTATTAAACCCCCAAAATAAAAATTGTATATATTGCAGCTTACCAATCATTAAATGTGGTGGCCTTTCTGTAACCTTTTTATCATGAAAGAAACTTTGAGATAAGTTTGAGGTCTTAGAGAACTCCTGCTTAAATTATATTGTACCTAAAGCCTGTGTTATGATGATCTGCTCAATAAGTTCCAGTAAGAAATTGCCGCTTCTCATTGATAGTGAAAATTGTCCTTTTACGTTGGTGGTCAGTACACACCGCAAAATCCAACCAATGTTCACTTTTCAACTAAAAAGGTACCCTAGAGGGTTCCAAGCAGTATATATCCTAGATCTGTGGTTCTTTACATTAGTGAGAACCTCTTCCAAAACCTTCCATTCCCCAACAGAAAATAAAAGAAAAAAATGTATTCTCACACGTGAAAAGTATTCAATATATCTACTGAAATGCTTGAGGGCTCTGAGTGAGTCTGGGTGTCACTGTGGGAGCATGGGGGTTCTGGAGCAGACTGGCTGATCCTGTAGGAGACAAGGGTTTTGGAGGGGGCTGGGGAAAACTGTGGGGGATGGGGTCTCTTGATGGGGTTGGGGGTCTCTTCGGGAGGTAATGAATTGTGCAGGGGCATTATGGAAGATTTGAGGGTGGTGCAGCAATTGGAGAGGGATCTGTAGGAGGCCAGGTGGCACTGTGATACACTGCTGAAAGTTGGGAGCTAGAGGTTCTGCAGTTGACACAGGGAGGGAGTGGCACTGTGGAGGGTTGGATGGCACTGCAGGACGCTGGAGGTCACTGTGGGGGCTGAGGGACATTGTTGTCCACTATAGAAGATTGTGGGAGTACTATAGGAGTCAGGAAGATCTGTGTGAGGTTAAGGGATCTGCAGATAGCTGGAGGCCTAGTAGCAGGAGGTTAGAGGATCTGGCTGGAGGCCTGGGAGAAGGGTGGCCAAGGTTGAGAACCACGTCCTAGATTATATATTTTGGGTAATGCCATTTTTGGTGGTTGAGTGACTTTAAACTGATATCAGTACATAGATTCAGTGCTATCCACAAGTACTACTAGTAACTAACCTTTCTCCAGCTAGAAAAAACGTTGACTGTTCTAATGTCCTTGACTCAAGACTCCAATGTGGGATCTTTCCTCACAATGACCAGACTGCTAAGATCCCTGAACTGAGGGGCTTTTAATTCACTTCAAACAGGTATAGCATTCCCATACAAGTCTAGGGGAATGCAAAACCCACATGAAGCAGGTCATATGAGGGTTAGAAGGAGATCAACTGCAGATGTCAATGAACTTTGAGCGATTCCAGAAGCATCTCAAACTAATGTCACTCTAATGACATCAAACACAAGCCCAAAGCTGGTCAAACATGGGCTCCAACTTTCTACTAATCAGGACAAAAATAAAAAGAGAAAACAGATACAAGGAGCCATCACACAAAACAACCAGAGTTCAGGATTCATTTTACCAGCTCAGGTTGGAGAAACACCTGGCTGGTCCCATTCTCATTTTCTCTGTTAATAACGTGGCTTCTTATTTTTATTGCTCCCTTACGTCTAGTAGGCTCAGCACAAATAGGAACTGTTACCTCCTGGTGGCTCATTTAATGAACTGGCACAGATAGGAACAGTGTCGCCCCCTGGAGGTTCATTGGTTGAACTTGCACAAATAAGAGCAATGCTGCTCCCTCGTGGCTTGTTTAATGAACTACAAGAAATAAAGACTCCTTTATAACCATTGGTGTTGACTTCACATATGCAAAGCACCAGTTTTTGGATCACAGTAACATTCCTATAATTTTCCCTATAAAATTCTACATCATAAAAAAAAAAACAATATTGAAATGAAGGTAAGTTTCGACTTTTGATAAAACCAGACACAAGGAACAGAGCCAATAATGTGACTATGGTAACTGTCGGTGTTTGATTTATGTAGACCATGGCTGTTGACTACTACTTCAGTCCTGGAGACACTCAGATCAACATTAAAGGGCCCCCTAAGGGTAGAAATAAAGGGCCATTTTGGGGACCGCAAAACACTTCTTGGCCAGTTACTGACATGGAACAAGTACATAATTTGGAAAGGCACTCAATACACCTGGGCCAATGCACCACAACCTATAGACATGGACCATCCATACGATGTGACATACTTTGCTGAAGAAAAAAAAAGGCTGTAGGTCCAAAAAAAAAAAAAAAAAAAAACTATTGCAGACGTGTGTTGGTAGCCTATTTGTCTCATTAGCCCTTCCAAAAATGCCAAGGTCAATGAAAGCCAAGAAACGTGTATTCTTAGAAATCAGTGGATACCATTGGATTATTCTCCAAGGTAAGTGTACCTATAACTAATCTGAAACAATGCCACCTACAGGTGTGATAAGGTACTACATGCTACAAATACATCAAGTAGTTACATGACCAAAAAAAACCCCTCTGCCAAACCTAGCCTGTCTCAGTAGTAACCCCCGAATCCAGGTACCATATAGCTCATTAATTGAATAATCCTTTATTATTTCTCTAAAACAAACTTCCATCATCAAGTAAAGGGCATCTCCACACAAACCATTGAGGAGGTGCCTTTTGAAGTGAAGATGAAGTCAACTATATAGTGCAAATAAACTCTGGACTTCCTGACCTTTGAAACATTGGTTCAAGTCTCTGTCCTGTACCTCTAGGTGTCTTGGTCATGGACATCACTGGAAACTTTCAGCACCCAGGGGAAGCAGACACCAAGTACTGGCTCCTAGAAGTTGGAAGGCACTCCTAATTTCCACACTATGCTAAGTTCCCCTTTAACCAGACACTCTACAATATCAGAAAATGGAAGATGGAAGAGGCTGTTTAATGCAGTTATAAATGAAGACATGCAGGAGATTTGAAGGTTTGTTGAAGCTGACACAGGTGGCAATGACACAAAAGACTGATAAGTGATAAGAAGAATATGACATCATAGTTACTGATGAATCACAAGACTCTGAAAGCCAAACAACAGCCCAACTATTTTCTTCTGTTCTGGGAAAGGTTAGAACCTCTATCAGGCTCTCACTCATGTGTGCCATCTGGTAAAGATTCCCCTTCCTGTTCTGGGGACAACCAGCCACTTCCTGACACAGGGTATCATTAAGACAGGAATTAAAGGGAAATTTCCCCAGCTGCAACATAGATAGCTATCAAAATCTAAGCTTTTTGCATGTCTAATAAATAGTTGTTTTATTGATGCTTGTGTCTCCCATGGCAAGACCTGTATAAATTTCCACCAGTGTACATTTTTTGTAGAATAATTAGACATCAATGAGATATATCTCACCAACAAATGCTTTGGGAACACGTAGAGCCCCTTTCTTGAGGTACTGTGCCTTGAAAGGGGTTCCTGTGTGATCCAGAATTATTTGTTAGGTTTATTCATCTCTTAATAATAAACAATTATTCTAGAAGAATGGCTGACTGGTGGAAATTTCTACAGATCCAAATGGTGGAAGGTGCCATCCCTCCAGTCCACCACAGCACTCTATATTGTATGGGTATTTATCCATATAGCGTGCAACTGATGCTATTTGTATCTCATGGAAATAACTCTGTTGACTTTGGTATTGTGATAAGTGGAAGGACAGAAATGAGAGGGCATCTTCCCAGTGAGGGACACAGGAATCTACACTGGACAGACAAATGAACACTTTTAGCATACTGAGGAAACGTTCAAGCTTTTACTGCTGACTTTGTCCCAGTTGAAGAGATTCAGTCAACTCATCAATAAAATGGAGAAGTTCTAACCCTTCCTCAACTTCTCATGAGTTCTAGCTGGACTTGAAGAAAAAAAAAAACTTATATTAATTGAAGGAGCCATTTTGTGGGCTTAGTTTATAGAAGAACATACATCAAGGCAACAATTTTGTGAAAACCCATACAGAGGAGACCCAGTGACATCACCACCTTTTTAGGTTTAATGATCTTAGTGGCCACCATAACCATTTGGTGAACAAATGAGACAATAAGGTTGGTGGCAAAGGGCAGGGAGAACAGCTATTGCTTTTGATCCTCTTTTTTCAAGAGCCCAGCAGGGATGTCCATGAGGCCTCCATGTTGTCCATGTTAGGAGAAGATGCACTTGGACAAAGGAGCTTGCTAAAACTTAAAAAGGCCAATTACTACAACATCAAGGACCATAGGGAACAGCGTTTGTTCCCAACGAGCTGACCTAAGACCACAAAATGCCATCCTTTACAGCAACAGCTGCCCTTTCGTGTTAGGGAGATTAAATGAAAAACTTAAAATGTTATAAAACAGATGGATTTTCAATGATCAAGGGAAGATTAGATGAAGCACACACAGCAAAAGAGATGGGTGGGTGTGAGTTTAGGTTACCACAGTTAAGCGACGCTTCAGGATACCAACCTGGGAGGAGGCTCGGTCTGTTGCTCCTTCCTTAAAACAAAAGCGATATCATGTTAGCTGCAATGCAATGAAAGATGACGCAGTCTTTGTTAATAAAAGGCTGTCGTGGGCCTGGGCTGCAGGCATTAGTAGAAGCAAGCCAGGCACGTGGCAGGAAGGTAAAGTGAGGCCTCAAAACTCAATATCCTCCTACACAAATAGCCTGGTAAGCTACACCAAAATGGACAATTCAAATGTACCCTTTTCGTTTACCGAATATACAAGTAATAAGAACCAATCATGACTAGGCTTGTATATTTCCCCCAGTCTTAACTGATAATTATGGGGGCCAGCTTATGAGAAATTAATTGTTGCCCCTCATTCAGCTATTATTTTTGTCTGCTTGAAGACAGTGGACTCCTTTAGAAACTGCCTCATCTCACACAGAAGGTCAACCAGCATCTCAGGGTATGTAAAAGTATCAAATAAAAGAAAGTAAACCTCCCTTTTCTGATGCCAATGGGGCTAATGTAAACAATCGAATGCTTGAGCAGTCAAAGTCAGTCAGGTGTTACTTTTTGCGCATCCAGAGAAATACAAAGCATGTCAAACCCAACCTCAGAAAGGTCTTCCCCAATGGTCCTTTGGGTGTAGGTGGTAAGGAAACAATGCTCTTCTACACGTGCTTGTAAAAATATTATGAAACTGGGAGATGGCGCGTGGGATCAGGCAGTTGACAAGACAGCAACTGTCAGACCTCAGGTGGCCTCTCAATGCTATCAAGTTGAAGTGTCACTAAAATAGGGAGCAAATGTCAAACTTTCATAAGCTTGAGGGTTGTCTTATATGTTCTGCTCCTGGAAATGAAGGAGGTTTGAAGTTTTTAGGCCCAAATAAGCATGACGCTTTTGAGGGTTCTCTTATATGTTCTCCTCCTGGACACGAAGGAGGTTTGAAGTTTTTAGGCCCGAATAAGCATGATGGTTTTGAGGGTTCTCTTATATGTTCTCCTCCTGGACATGAAGGAGGTTTGAAGTTTTTAGGCCCGAATAAGCATGATGGTTTTGAGGGTTCTCTTATATGTTCTCCTCCTGGACACGAAGGAGGTTTGAAGTTTTTAGGCCCGAATAAGCATGATGGTTTTGAGGGTTCTCTTATATGTTCTCCTCCTGGACATGAAGGAGGTTTGAAGTTTTTAGGCCCGAATAAGCATGATGCTTTTGAGAGTTGTCTTATATGTTCTCATCCCGGACATGAAAGAGGTTTGACATTTTTAGGACAGAATAACTGAAACATTAGAGGGTTTTCCCATATGTTCTCATCCTGGAAAAGAGTCCTTGAGTATGACCGGGTACAACAATACCAGACTCATGTGCTGGTCTTCGCCTTGTATGCTTATACACTTAATACATCAGTAAAAGAGATTTAAGATCTTACTTTTGGTGTGTAGGCCATTTTCGACCTTTGGACATTAAAAAAAAAAAACCATTGAACTTCAATTTCTGGCATAACACTAGACATCGAATACTGTACTATGAATACCGGATGAAAGGTAAAATCCACAAAGACCTGCCATGTTCACTAAATTGATAAATATTGGATAGTTTGTGATGTTGCTGCAGTAAACAGGGACCCCTTCATGGTCCTTACCGCTGACACCGATTTAACCCTCTCTATTGCCTCTAACTACTAACCAGCCTCACCCCTTGACTTCTCAGGCCTCATTCAAATTGGCACTCCTGCCTTTACCCTTTTTTAAACGCAGGAGAAGTCATCTGGGAAGTACGAGGTTGCATTCACACCACAGGAGCACGGGATTGCATGCAGTTTTCCTGCAAATCGCATCTATGAAATGTGCAAAAAATGCATTTCACGCTTGTCCTGCCATTGGTTATTGATGGCACCCCAATCATTTGTTGCGTACAGGGCAGAACAATGAAACAAAAGAGCTTCCCTGTGCATGTAGCGCAACAATGCGCAGTTGCGTAACGCCTGATGTCACATGACACAGTGTGAAAGAAGCCTTATAACTTTATTGCCTCCCATATCTGTGTTTAGAAGCTTTCCTTTAGGCCCCTTTCTCTTCTGCGTTCTGGACCTTCACCCCTGAATGCACAAGGCCCGAAACGTTGGTACCATTATGTACAGCATTTAATCCTGCCCGCCACAGACAGCTTGCCTGATGTGGGGCTGGATGCTGCACCTGTCCCACCCTGGCACGCGACAAACGCCAGGAGGGATGCCTGGCAGCTGGATGGCCCATGAGCAAGGCTTTGTAAGAAGAGTCCCTTTCCTCAAAGCTAGACACTAGCTCTGAGGAAAGGGACTCGTTCCTGAAACGCGTCAGCAAGCCGACCACAATGACAGTCGGACACCCTGCCATTGTTATGGCCATCTCTACCTTCTTACAAAGCTTTACATACATGCTATGTTTGTGACTATGTTTTCGCTCTTTTTTCACTTTTTAATAAACCTTGGATAATGCACGAGGGGTTTGCACCTCCTGTTTGCTCTTTTCCAGTTGTTGATTTCCCCATCTGAGGAGGGCTGCATCTCCGATACGCTATCCATAGGCCACTTTGATCCTGGTTCCCCTGGCTTTCCTTTGGCAATTGATCCCCGGAGCGCTGGAGAGTACATTCTGTTGTCCGGTTTGGTTGCCCATGGGCAAGGGCATCCTCTAAATATAGGTTTGAAGGTGCCAGTGTCAATGAGGCCTAAGAAACCGGAAGCATCTGGTGTTCATGAGCCATAGAATGTATTTGTCTTTCGTCACCATTTTGAGGAACGGTTCTAGTTTTCAGCAGAGAACCCCTTTATAGACAAAAATGTCTGTCCTTCCAAATGCGTCCATGATTAATAACGACAACCATGGCAAAAGGCAACCATTTAGGTCAAGCTTGGAGAGTTCCACATACCTTGGGTCTGATATAGGGCTTCACTGGTCAAAGTGGCAATGGAACTTCATGTTGTCTATAGCAACCAATCAGATCCAATCGCTCCTCCTTTTCTGATTGAGGATGGTATAAGAAAGAAAGCGTTTCCTCAAACACGATGATAAATGAGGCTCAGAGGATTCTTTAAGTGTCTAAGGAAGAACTGCCCGCATCACCCATGGCAACCAGGTTCTCTGACTTCTATAGGACATACAAACGGCGTTTCCTTCCTCAGCACATGATGTAAACAATATGGCCGCCGTCTTGTTCCATTCCATTTCCCGAGTCCATCGGCAGCGTCCAAAATGTCTCCCCCTTTGACAACGCACTCTCTTTTCACACAAGACAGAGGGGGCCTCTATTATGACTCTTCAAACTTCACCTCACATCCATCGGGAGGGATGAATCACCGACGGAGAGGGAGGCGTTGCTACAGCAACCGCATTCACCCGTAACCGTGGAAACTGCATACCGATCGCCTCGGCAGCCGAGAACAGGCTTACATTTACACAGCAAAAGCCGCGTCTGACTGCGTTGGCGGAGGGGTTGTGGGGGGGTTGAAGTGTCGCCATGTTTAATTATTGATTAGATTCCAGGCTGAGGCCTACTAGCCGGGCCTTCAGGGGGAATACAAAGCAGGGACATATTTATTATTGATAGATGGTCAGTGACCCCGTCATGAATATTCACCGACCGAAAAATGTTAATATTAAAAACACGAGAAAAACTACAGCCTGCGCCAATTCCTACTCTACAATGCCGAGCATGTCCAAGTTTACGGACACCTATACATGAAAATCTGATCATTTACCGTCTTGAAATGGGATAACCCTTAATGTGAGAAAAACAATTATCTTCAGTGTCGCCCATTCAAAGCTCGGCGCCATTTTGCCCCGGGAACAAATAATCCTTTTTTTGGGGGGGAGGGGGGGTAAATGGCGCATTCTTGGCCCCACAGAGTTCAATGGAAGCACCAGAAAACACGTAACACAAGCGTTTTAGAAACCGTTTTTTTTGTGCTCTGGCAATGAAGAGGACAACATATGATGTCATCGATGATACAATCCAATCAGCACGTATCCCGCTGTGAACATACTTCAAGAGCCTGTACACATCATGGAGCAAAAACCGTACCAAATTGTATCTGCAATGCGTACGGAGCCACTAGCAGATGCATGTGCGTCCACCTCAGGGCTGCGTACAGGTAGCCCACTTTGGTGCGTTGTAGCGCCTGGTCAGCTATACTGCTACAGGGCGGCACCTGTGTGCAGAATCATGTATACAGTTGCAAGAAAAAGTATGTGAACCCCTTGGGATTACGTGGAGTTTTGCATGAATTGGGCGTAAAATGTGCTCTGAATATCATCTAAGTCACAACAATAGAAGAACACAGTCTGCTGAACATAATACTACACAAACATTAGATGTTGCCATGGTTTAATTGCACATAACATGTAAACATTCACAGTGCAGGGAGGAAAAAGTATGTGAGGCCCTAGCTTAATGACTTCTCCCAGAGCTAATTGGAGCCAGGAGTAAGCAACCTTAACTCCAATCAGTGTGATGACATTGGATGTGTTGCTGACAGCTGTCCTGCCCTTAAAAAACACACACCCGTTTTGGGTTTACTGGTTTCAAGAAGCACTGTCTGATGTGAACCATGCCTCGCAGAAAAGAGCTCTCAGAAGACCTACGATCAAGAATTGTTGACTTGCATGAACCTGGAAAGGGTTACAAAAGTATCTCCAAAAGCCTTGATGTTCATGTGTCCACGGTAAGACAGACTGTCTACAAATGGAGCAAGTTTAGCACTGTTGCTACTCTCCCTAGGCGTGGTCGTCCTGTAAAAATGACTGCAAGAGCACAGCGCAGAATGCTGCATGAGGTAAAGAAGTATCCCAGAGTGTCAGCTAAAGACCTACAGAAATCTCTGGCACTTGCTAACATTTTTGTTGCCACACCTACAATAAGGAAAACATGAAACAAGAATGGAGTACATGGGAGGACACCACGGTGGAAGCCATTGCAGTCCAAAAAGAATATTGCAGCACGTTTGAAGTTTGCAAAAGAGCACCTGGATGTTCCACAGCACTACTGGCAAAATATACTGTGGAC